CGAGTGTCAGGGACGTGGTCGCTGCCGACCACGTTGCTCGGTAGTAGAAGAGCTTTGGTGAGATCAAAGGCGAGCAAATGCTCTTTGTCACCCTTGATCGACGCAGTGGTCGGGATATCTTGTCCCCGGTGCTTCAGCTGTGGACGCCAGGCTGGCACTGGGACAAGAGTTTCAGATGGATGTTCGGTTGTCAGCTCGGCGACGAGCTCAGCAGAGGGATCTGCCCGTGGTCTTTTTCCAGCCCGGCGTGTTTCTCTGCTAGACTGCCCGGCGGCTGGAGAAGCTAGGGCGACCACGGTGGCACTTGATTGACCACCAGCCGGGGAGCGGGCGACAACGCTCGGTATCTCGGCCAAGGTTGCAGTGAGAAGGTTTTTGATTCGACTTCTCTTGGCCATTTCTTGCTCGTCTGTTAACCGGATTAAGGGGACGTCAGGAAGGGTAGGGTCTGGAGGTGGCGAAGGAGCGCGGAGGAAGTCAGTTACTCTACTCCGGTGCGGAGCAGAATACCTGTAGGTCGGGGTGTAGCCGAGTAAATCGTTGCAATCTCGGTGGGAATACCGAAGCACGGTCCGAATTGCTTCAACGTTGGGAAATTGATAGTTGGCTTACAAGGCTTGGATTGCTGCAAAAGAAACAGGAAAATCGGTTAGTTACAGAGTAAAGAGTTAGGCTAACCGAGCAAGTTTGAGCGGCTTACATGAAGAACCGAAGTCCTTGTTTATAAACCAACCCGGCACCTCGGCTGTTTCGTAATTGCCCAACACCCAGAAAAAATCGTCGTCGTGCAGATCTTTATCTGGGGTGCCAGTTACAATTTTTTCCTTGCCCGGTCTTATCTTCAAGTAATAAGCTAGGCCGTCCCCGGTGTGGCCCATTGTGTATTGCCTCAATATCTCGACTAGGCCTAAGTTGGTGCCTAGCCGATTGTTCAATTCATGAACGCCGTTGATTATTCTATAAGTATTGGTGGACACTTGTGTGGGTGCCAGCCCGGTGCGGCGGAGGAACTCGGTGATAAGTGGGTTGAGCGGGAAACGGAGGCCCCCTTCGACAATTGAGAGCACGGTGAAGGGGCATTGGTCTAGTCTGCCCCAGGGTGTTGTCTCCTCTTCAGCCAGTTCGAGATGGACATCGGCCGGGATGCCGTACTCCTCTCTGAAAGCAGCTAGCACGGCTGGAGTATCCACTAGGAAGCAGAATTTCCCCATTTGTGGCCGGACTGATGTAGCTCGGCTGAGGTGTTTGGCACAATGGCAATTGTTAATTGCTCGGTCTTGAGAACCTGAGGAATGGACAGTGGTCCCCTTGGACTCTGCAAGAAAAGGAGGGCAAGTGTAAGTGTGAGCGCGGTCGCGCGGAAGGAGCTAGTCTTTAGCTCGGTCGTTAAGGGTGGCAAACCACCTCGGTCTCCTAAGCTAACTAAAGAGCTCGGTCGCCCAGGCAGGCCAGATATTAGCCCGGTTGAGCGACCATTTCCTTTTGTTATCCCGGTTTTTGCTGGGGTTGAGACAAACATGTTATTTGCTCAGTTAGATTGGTTTTTTAGATCAAAAGAAGACCAGGAGCCCGGTTCGCCCCAGTTCTTCAGTGTTCTTCAGGAAAAATCTTACATGTGCTGCCAAAGTTTTTGCTTATCATCCAGCCTGGTACCTCGGCTGTCTTGTAATTGCCTGACACCCAGAAAAAATCGTCGTCGTGAAGATCTTTATCCGGGGTGCCGGTTACAATTTTTTCCTTGCCCGGTCTTATCTTCAAGTAATAAGCTAGGCCGTCCCCGGTGTGGCCCATTGTGTATTGCCTCAATATCTCGACTAGGCCTAAGTTGGTGCCTAGCCGATTGTTCAATTCATGAACGCCGTTGATTATTCTATAAGTATTGGTGGACACTTGTGTGGGTGCCAGCCCGGTGCGGCGGAGGAACTCGGTGATAAGTGGGTTGAGCGGGAAACGGAGGCCCCCTTCGACAATTGAGAGCACGGTGAAGGGGCATTGGTCTAGTCTGCCCCAGGGTGTTGTCTCCTCTTCAGCCAGTTCGAGATGGACGTCGGCCGGGATGCCGTACTCCTCTCTGAAAGCAGCTAGCGCGGCCGGAGTATCCACTAGGAAGCGGAATTTCCCCATTTGTGGCCGGACTAAGGTAGCTCGGCTGAGGTGTTTGGCACAGTGGCAATTGGTAATTGCTCGGTCTTGAGAGCCTGAGGAATGGACAGTGGTCCCCTTGGACTCTGCAGGAAAAGGAGGGCAAGTGTAAGTGTGAGCGCGGTCGCGCGGAAGGAGCTAGTCTTTAGCTCGGTCGTTAAGGGTGGCAAACCACCTCGGTCTCCTAAGCTAACTAAAGAGCTCGGTCGCCCAGGCAGGCCAGATATTAGCCCGGTTGAGCGACCATTTCCTTTTGCTATCCCGGTTTTTGCTGGGGCTGAGACAAACATGTTATTTGCTCGGTTAGATTGGTTTTTTGGATCAAAAAAAGACCAGGAGCCCGGTCCGCCCCAGTTCTTCATTGTTCTTCAGGAAGATGAAGAACACCAAGAACAGTGGGAGGTTTGGGACGGTTTCTATGGCCTATGCCCTAAGAGCTACGTTTTTGTGCCCTAATGTGTGTAATATGAAAGAAAATAACAACAAAATAGGGGTAGAATGACTCACCAGTGAAGGGCAGGATCTATTCCCTCGAACACAAAGAATGGCAGACGAGGCCAAGGCAAGGATGCTAGAGCACTGGAGTCTTATAACGGAATGGCAGTAGGAGGAGATGGAGTTTGGGAGGCCCTGTATGTTTAGACAAGGGAGAGACCGCCCAAATTCAAAATTCTGGCAAAAACGGCGGGTTGGCTGCTCGATGACCAATGGCAGCCCGCCACGTGTCCCCATTTATGGGGACGTCAGGACTGAAGCGACGGGTTGAAGAGTCGAAGAGCCAACCGAGCTACTTTCGAAGAAAAGGATGTCAGCCGAGGAGTATAGCCGGGCAAGTTTGCAGACAGTTATGTTAACTAGCTCGGTCGCCCTTTGGCATCTTGAAGACCGGAGAAATGTTATCTCGGTCGAAGTGAGTAATCCCAGTCACGCTTTCGTGGACGGAATTAAGGGGCAATTGAGAGGGTGATTTATGATCTGGAATTGGGCCGAGGCAACGGCCGAGCAGGAAGAGAGCCCAACTGTGCATGGGGCCGAGATGATCGACTATCCGCCCGGAGATGGGCTGCCAGAACTTGGCCCGGGTAAGAATTGGGCCAAGTGTGAGCCGCCTCGGACCGAAAAGAAGCTCGGCAAGGCAGTGCTCGATTGAACCGAGCTGCTTGATCAGGGGATGGCTGAAGCCAGACAAGCTGAGTGACCGGCGCCCGGAAAGGCGTGGTCAACCGAGGAAACCGTTTGATCGGCAGGAAGGCCGACCACAGGAGCTGCCCGGGCTAGGCTCTGCCGAGATGCCGCCTAGCCCGGTCCTCATTGGGTTTATCCAGTGAGGTGCTTGGATATGAAGCATAGCACAGCCGTGGATAGAGCAGCTCGGCTGCCGAGCTCCTGCTGAGTAGGCAGGCAGTTGAGATTAGGTGATGATCGGCAAGGTTTATGCTGACAGATGGGATAGCAGAGCCACGTGTCAGGAGATGACTGGGAGTGGATATGGGGCGCAGAGGGTATATAAGCATGTCTGCACCCCTCATACGTGACAGATGAACACTTTGTAAGAATTTCTTACATTCAAACACCTCTCTCTCTCTCTCTCTATCCTAAGGTGTGTGCTAACTTGATCGTCGGAGGGTTTTTCCGGCCACACACCGCCGGGTAGCTCACCATTGTTTGCGCGCAGATGATCGGACATAAACGGAGCTCGGAAGAAAGGAGTACGGGCTTGCCGGAATATTTGCTCCCCGTACAGTAATTTAACTAATGAAGGTTGTGTATTCAACTAAGGTGTGTCTTTGGTCATTTTGGTCATTTTAGATAAGGTTATTATTGTAATAAAAAAATAATCAATTAATGGTGTGCCTTAAAATAAAATGGAGTGTGTAAATAGAGGCACCCTTTCATCTGATCTTTGTTTAGAGAGAGAGAGAGAGATTTGATAGAGAAGGCAAAAAAATGGAAAGGAGCAATGCTTCAGCTGATTAAAAAAAGGAAAAATCGTTTGGTTTTAATTTTCTGCATTTAATTTTTTAGAAATTGAAGTTTTTTTGTTTATATTTTTTTATTTTTAGTGAATATTTTAAAAAATTTAAACAATTTTTTTATTTTTTTAAATACACATTATTTAGATGTATCTAAAAAGTAAAATATTTGTAATAAAATATTTTAAAATATCAATAAATACATAAATATACAAAAAAATATATTAAGTTCTTGTATTTTTTTATATTTTTTATATTTAATGAATTTTATAAAGTTTTTTTTTTTATAAATATTATACTTTTTAAGTGTATATATATTAAGTATATCTAAATTTTTTTAAAATTACTTAGAATATTAAAAAAAATTAATAAAAATAAAAAAATACGAAAAATGAAAAATGAAAAATTTTAATTTTTAAAAAATAAATACTAAAAATCCAAATCAAACCGATTGAATTTTGAAAAGCCAGAGGACAAGTAGCAGTGGCCGAGAAAGAGTCCGAGTCGAAGGAGTATTTGAGGGTGAGCGATGAAGACTCTGAGATAGTCGCGTCAGGATCCTCTGGAGTTTAAACGTCAGGATCCTCTGGAGTTTAAACCCTGAAGTGATCTAATAAAGTGATCCATTCAACGGCTGAAATTAAATCTCACCAAAACGACATCGTCTTGGTGAGTAATTTGAAAAAAAAAAAAAAAATCAGATGTATTTCTTCGTTCCTCTCTAACGCTCTGCTTCACAGTCACAGGAACAAAGAAATAGATCTGAATTTTTTTATTTTATTTTATTTTTTTTAAATTACTTACCAAAACGACGTCGTGTTGGTGAGGTTTAATTTCAACCATTGGATGGATCACTTTAGGATTTAAACTCCAGGGGATCCGGAGATGCTCTCCCGAGTCACCGTTCCAACTCACCAACCCGGCATCGAGCGCAGCTACTTCCAAGATTTTATACTCAACGGTATCAAAATCGACCGAATCGATCCCGGTTTCGTTGTTTGTTCCTTCAAGGTCCCTCCTCGTTTCACTGTAAGAATCTCCTCATCAATCTCTCGATCTCGATTTTGATTTGCCTCAAATCCAATTGTGGGTTTTGTTGGGTTTTTGATGATTGGGTTATTTTGAACCCAGGATAGAACTAGGAATTTGGCTCCGGGAGCTATTGTGAATCTGGTTGATGAACTGGGTGGTACTGTGATCTATGTTGAGGGTCTTCCCATGAATGTCTCCGTTGACATGTCTGTCTCTCTCCTTTCTACTGCAAAGCTCACTGTAAGTCTGTACTTGCCCATTCTATGCTTTGGTATGATTGATGACATTTTGCTAATTATTTGTTGCCCACTTTTACCCAATGAAATTATGTCATTTAAGCGTAGTTTGGATGTCCATTTGAGCTAAAATCGTGATATGAGATAAAATAAATTATTTTAATCAAATGTCACATATAATTTATAATTATTTTATTTTATTTTTCATAAAAATTAAAAAAATTTAAATTTTTTTCCTAAATAAGACTTTTTAATCTTAAATTAAAATAATTAAAAAGTCAACTCACATTCTATACAAATCCTTAGTTGCATTCCGTCGTCACAAATTTTTATTATTCCATTTGAGGAAGGTAGAGATAAAGGGTGTGGTTTGCAATGTGGGTTTTTGGATATTTTTTTTTTGTTGACTAAATTATCATAAAAATAAAATATATTAAAAAATTAATAAGATTAAATGTCATATTCAAACTATTTAGTGTTTAGTTTAAATTTTTTGGATTAAGTTTTTTGAAAATTGAGTTTTTTGGTTTTCGTATTTTTTTGTTTTTAGTGAATATTTTTTAAATTTTAAATAATTTTTTTTATTTTTTGAGATGCACCTTACTTAGATGTATCTAAAAAGTAAAAAAATTGTGAAAAAATATTTTAAAAAATTAATAAATACATAAAAATACAAAAAAATGTACTGAATTCTTGTATTTTTTTTTGTATTTTTGGTATTTAGTGAATTTTTAAAAGTTTTTTTAATTTTTTTTACTTTTTAGATGTATTTATGTTAGATGTGTCTAAAATATTTTTAAAAAAAATCTTAAAATATTAAAAAAATTCTTAATTTTTTTTACCCCGGCCGAAGCTTGCCCGCGGCCTAGGGTAGGCCCGGCCCGGCCCGGCCCGTTGACAATGTGAATATTCACATTGACATGTTAACATGCACATTGATAGGAATGTAGAATTGGCCCACGGCCCGTGGGCTGCCCGAAGCCTGCTCGAGGCAGGCTCGTTTAGGTCCGGGCCCGAGCCGGTGGGTCGAGCCTCGGGTCGGGCCAATGGGCCTAGGCCTGGGCCTAGCCTCAGGCTTGGGTCGGGCTTGGGCGGGCCTGGCCATTTTTTTTAAATTCTTTTTAATTTTTTCTACCAAAATTTTATTATTTTCCACAAAAAAAGACACTGACTGAGCCTTGAATGGGCCTTAACCGGGCCGATGGACCGGACCGGGCCGGGCTTCAAAGTAATGGCGCAGGCCCTAGCCTAGGGTCTCGAACTAGGCTCGAGCCCGGGCCCAAACGAGCCTTTCCCGAGCTGCGGGCGAGCTTCGGGCAGCCTATGTTCTTTTTGACTATTCCATTAAGTCATATTTGAGGTAAGAAGACCAAAATACCATTTTCATCTGCTTATATTCTATTTAGTCCATATTATTTTCTTATGTTTCAATAAGTCCTATGGGAGATATAATTACCAAAATACCCATAATGTGAATGTTCACATCGTCAATGTGAATGTTCATATCATCAATGCATAGAGGCCCGGGCCGGCCCATATCGAGCCTCGTGGATGTTCAAAAAAATCCGGGCCGGCCCGGCCGGGCCTAGCCCACGGGCCAAAAAATTAGGCCCAGGCCCTAGCCCTGGCACAAGGGTATTCGGGCTTTGGACGGGCCGATGGATCGAGCCTCGAGTCGGGTCGGTGGGGCTGGGCCTAGCCTTGAGTTTAGATCGGGCTTGGGCGGGCCTGGCCATTTTTTTTAAATTTTTTTTAATTTTTTCTACCAAAATTTTATTATTTTCCACAAAAAAAGACATTGCACCTCGGGCGGGCTGGGCCTCAGACCGAGTCTTGAATGGGCCTTAAGCAGGCTGATGGGCCGAGCCAGGCTTCAAAGTGATAGCCTAAGCCCTAGCCTAGGGTCTCGGACATGCTCGGGCCCGGACCCAAACGAGCTTGCCCCGGGCCGTAGGCAAGCTTTAGACAGCCCATGGGCCGCGGGCCAATTCTACATTCCTATCAATGTGCATGTTAACATGTCAATGTGAATATTTACATTGTCAATGGGCCGAGCTGGGCCTAACCCGGGCCGCGGGTAAGTTTCGGGCAGCGAGCAAATTTTACACTCCTATCAATGTTAATGTTAACATGTCAATGTAAATATTCACATTGTCACGGGTCGGACCAAGCCCGCCTTGGGCTGCGGTCGGGCTTCGGGCCTCCCACGGGTTGCGGGCCAATTTTACACTCTTATCAATGTGAATGTTAACATGTCAATGTGAATATTTACATTGTCAATGGGCCGGGTCGGGCTCTCCCTGGGCCGCTGGCCAATCTTATACTCTTAACAATGTGAATGTTAACATGTCAATCTAAATATTCACATTGTCAACAGGCCGGGCTGGGCCCGCTCCAGGCCGTCCACGGGACGTAGGCGGGTTTCGGGCAGCCACGAGGCGCGGGCTAATTTTACACTCCTATTAATATGAATGTTAACATATCAATGTGAATATTCACATTGTCAACGGGCCGGGCTCGCCCCGGGCCGCAGGGGATTTTTGGTCGCCCATGGGCCGCGGGCCAATTTTGTACTCTTATCAATGTGAATGTTAACATGTCAATGTGAATATTCACATTGTCAACGGGCCGGACCGGGCCCGCCCCGGCCCGCCCATGGGTCGCGGGCAGGTTTCGCGCCGCCACGGGACGCGGGCCAATTTTACACTCCTATTAATGTGAATGTTAACATGTCAATGTGAAGATTCACATTGTTAACGAGCTGAGCCCGCCCCGGCCCGACTCGAATTTTTTCGAGCACCCACGAGGATCGACATGGGCCCGGCCCCTACACATTGACGATATGAACATTCACATTGACAGTGTGAACATTCACATTAGGGGTATTTTGGTAATTATGTCACCCATAGGACTTATTGAAACATAAGAAAATAATATGGACTAAATAGAATATAAGCAGATGAAAATGGTATTTTGGTCTTCTTACCTCAAATATGACTTAATGGAATAGTCAAAAAGAACATAGGCTGCCCGAAGCTCGCCCGCAGCTCGGGAAAGGCTCGTTTGGGCCCGGGCTCGAGCCTAGAGTTCTTTATTTCTTCTGTATTTTTTTTTTTTGGTGGTGTGTTTGCTGATGTTATGTATGGTTAGACTTTCTTAAATACTTTATTGTCAAGTTTGATATAATTCTGTTGATATTTGTAAATAATTTTTTAATGATTGGTTAAAAAAAAGTCCTTACTATTGTAATAATTTAGGAGACAAAAGGATATCATTCTGTCTAGAATTTTTGTTACTACTGCTAGCTTGACCTTTTCAGACTACCTGTTGGATTATAACTTAAAAGTTTGCAAAAAAATTCCAGTAGAAGATATTCCCATATATATTAATTAGCATATATGATAATATGTAATGTTGCTGTGTAGACCATTTATTTCATTACTGCATTTGATTCAAAATTGACACCATATATAAATTGATGGCCAAAGATTTGTTTTATGCATTTCTAAGTCTATCATATCTTACATCTCTGGGGTATTGCGTTGGCAGGATGAGTTGGAGATTACCTCAAGAGTTTTAGGCCAAAGAGGAGGTTGTTCCGGAACGATTATTCTTATAAGATATAAAGCAACCGGGAAGGTTGTTGCTGAAGGTCGGCATTCGTTGCTCAGTAAACATACAAGCAAACTCTGACCCTATTTCAATCTGTTGAATGTAAAATTTGAACCACCACACCTCAAAAAGAAAATGCTTTTCTTCCAGAATTTTTAGGGCAAATTACATATACCCCCCTCGAGGTTTAGCAAAATTACAGATACCCCCTGAGGTTTGAGAAATTACAGATACACCCCTGAAGGTTATATTTGCATAACAAATTAGGGGAAAATTGTTATGAAAATATAAATCTTAGGGGGCAACTTGTTATGAAAATATAAATCTCAAGGGGTATTTATAATTTTCGAAACCTCAGGGGGTATCTGTAATTTAGCTAAATCTCAAGGGAGATATATGTAATTTGCCCAAATTTTTATACAACATTTACCATAATGAAGTTTCAGTGGCATTACTGCCAGTAAGAAGCAGTTTGATATGATTTTTTTGTTTGATAGTGATATGCTCACAACTCTGTTTTTTGTTCTGCAGTATCATTCTATATGTTTTTTTTTTTGTTCGTATGTCAGTAATCAATTCGAAAATTGTATTTTGAAGGCATGACAGTGTTGTGGGTTTCTTACTTATAGTTTCTCTCATATTGCACGTACAAAAATTTTTTAGGGTAAATTACACGTTGCACCTCTATGCTTTGTATTAAATTTCATTTTGGTTTCTACACATGAAATCATGACGGTTAATTCCTTACACTTTTGGTCAAATATTACTTTGGCCTCTGTGGAGAAGGTGTTTTGGAAATACTCTTTTATCCAAGTAGACACTCTTGATCCTCTGGTTGCTATCTGAAAAAGGAATGAACACTCCGGTCTTGGGTGCCGGAATTAGCACTCCGACGAGCCAGTAAGTATTATTTCAAATCTTACTTTTATCGCAAGTTATCTTCTTTTTCATACCTGTCTTTGGCTGACGTTCCTCCCTTTTTATATTACGCCTGGGCCCAAGGTCGGGCCCACTCTTGACCTTGCCTATAATTATCTAGTCAGCCTTCTAATTGTGTGTTGGCTCCTGTTCTGCTCCTTATATGGCCGATTCGTATGCTCGGCTTCACGAGCCTCTGGGTAGGGCCGAATTGTTTTCAGCCCAATGTCCTATTTGGATTGCTCGGCCTTTCTTCCTCATTGATTAAATTTGGCCTCCACAATTGTCCCCCGAACATTCGACTAATACCAGTTTAGTAAGCATGTTTGGTTTTGCGTATCGCAAGTCAAAAATATAGCGCTCGCACTTCTTCTAATACTGAAGCGTCAGAATGAACACGATTTAGAAATTATTATAACTTCCCGCCCCTTCGTACGCGTTGCTCATTAAATGAAATTTGAAACCGCGTTGTCCCTTCGAATATTTTTTGAATGTGCAGGGCTCTCAGGTTTTCTCACAATATTATTCATTTTCTAAGACCTCGACGATTTTTGCCTGCTCCCCACTGTCCTTCTCTCCCTGACCTGTAAGTTCTTCTCCTCTTTGTATTTTTTCCTCATTCCAGCTCCCATTTTCCTGTTCGTTTTTAGTTAGCATATTTTTTATTCTGTTTTGAATGGCGAAACACTTGAAAGCTCTCCTTTCTACGGACCGTGTTTCCGCCTTTCATCGTCATTTCTCAATTCCAAATGACGTTCATTTGTCACTCATGGCGGACAGCGTAATTGACATGGAGAGAACTGATGCGAGTACAATCATATTTCCCCTCCTGTCAATCGCTGAAGGTGGAGTCTGTTTTTCCATTCATCCATTTTTTAGGGCCGTTCTTCGCTATTGGGGTCTACTCCCTTCACAACCGAACATAAATTTTTACCGAATTATAATGGGTGTAATAGAATTAAATCGCCAATTTAGCCTTAACCTAGGAATCCCTGCTATTTGGCACTGTTATGCCTTGGCGAAATCTTCCGGTCAGCAGGGATGCTACTTTCACAAGGCTAAGGACACAGATCACTATTTGGTGACTATACTTGCCAGCTCTGGTAAGCGTGTCGACGACGTCATGGTCGTTGTCCAAGGCAATTGGGAATTCAGCGAAGGCGAAGATCACCTGGACCTTGTGCCTAGACCTTGTGCCTAGACAGAAAGGTGAGCCAGGTGGCCGTACGGACCCATTTCTCCTATTTGTGCATTTCTGTAGGTTTATTCGGCTTCGATTCCATGTACTTATTTTTTTGTTTGTGCAGGTAACGATTTAAAAAAAAAACATTCACTTTGGCCGACAGCGATGTGCTTGAGCAAGTCAAGACTGCACTTAAATTCTTCGGCCGTACAAACCTTCAAAAACAAGAGCGGGCCACCCATTTATTACTACGATACTACCCAACATATTTGACTTTTTCGGCTACTGATCACATCCCAATTCCAAGGGGCGAACAGCATCTCACAGCACTCATCTTCCTAAACTGCAAGAGCCTTAGGGATATCGGCCTTGAGGGTTTAGATTTAGACCAAGGCAGTGAAGTCGGTGATCGGGTCGCTGAGCAGCCGAGTCAATCCAACTCAGACGGGTCTGAGGTCGCTTGGGGAAGGAAGTTGACACAACTCTTAATTTGGCCTTTAAAGAAGTCGGCTTTGACGTCTCATCCACCTCAGGCCAAATTAAAACATCTTCTTTAGAAAATGACATTTTCACCAATCTGGGAGACTTACCCGACACGGATCCTAAGAACATGGCTGGAGAATCGCTCATACAAATGGCTAGAAGGAAAAATGCCGAAAAGATGGCAGCCTGAAGGAGGGTTGAGACCGCTAAATCCATACCTCCATCGTCTGTTCTTGTTGAGGAAACAGAGCGAGAAACTGTTACAGCCGACTTGGTCGTTGAACAACAATCAGGTGATTTAGGTGCTGAACAAAGGGAGGAGAAACGCCCCACCGAGATAGAGGCCGAGTCTTCCGAAAAGTTAACCAATAAAAGGCCTTGAATAGAAGAGCTGTTCCAAGACTTGGCAGCGCCGTTTATCATCAAACCTAGGATAAAGAATGTGCTGGTTTCTGCTGATGCGTCGGCTATGAAAGATCCCGTCGTGGCCCTAAGTGTAGCTTCGGCGATTTCCTTGCCGATGGACAAGGTTGCGTTCCATGCAGAATCGGACGTTGTTTTAATAGCATTGGCTGCGCAGTCAGCGATATTGGTACGTAACTGGGAAATTCTTACTTCCAATTTCTGTTATATGCCGACTAACTTGCCCTTGTCTTCTTTCAGGCAGCGGGCAGAATCGTAAAAATCGACCATCGTCACTATGATGCCATTGAGCAAATCGGCATACTTAAAGCCGAGATTGAAACCGAAAAGGATAAAGTTAAAGAGGCACTAGCTGAGTTGGCGATGACGTCTCTTAGAGCCGAATCCAAGGCCAAAAAGACGGAAGAGGAGCGAGCGATCTGGGTGGTTGCCGAGGAAAGGGTGAATATGAGTGACGGTGCGCTGAAGTTGGCCAAAGAGACGATCGAGAAACTAGAGGCCGATTTGGAAGAATCAAAGAAGACGAAAGAACTTGCTGAGTCAGAGATTTCCAAGGCGTTCGATGCCGGCGAGAACGCGGCCATGGAGAAGTACGTGGAGGAGGTATTGAAATTTGAGAACCGAGGCTTTAAACATGGCTGGCTTAAAGCCCTGGTGACCTCCAAAGTGACATTGGAGCAGCCAATTCCATATGAGCAGCTGGAGATTGAGCCGTTGGAGTTTGACCCTGAAGAATAAAGATTGAGTTAGTGTAATTTTGCTTCATGTTAGGTATCATATGTATGTAGTTTTTGTAGGTTTTGCTCATTTGTTTAGAGGTTATTTGTAAGGCAGTTTTCATGGATAAAGTGACGGTTGTTTGTACTCAGTTTATAATGAAAATAGCCTGTTTGTTTCTGTTCTGTATTTGCTAATGAAAATTAGTGGCTAAGTAGGACAATGTAGCATAATTCGGCACTAAATCTATCATTGCCCCATTTGGACACGTCGTACCCGAGCCAACTAAAACATATGGCCCAATGCTAAGTTCATCTAGCCAAGTGGGGCAGTGTAGCATAATTCAACTACATGAATTGTCGAAAAGATTCATATATCTGCCCTTACCCCATTTGGATACGTCGTGCTAGAGCTGACTAAAACATGTGGCCCAATGCTGAGCTCGACTGGCTAAGTGGAGCAGTGTAACGTAATTCGACTTTAAGATGAATTGCCGAAAAGATTCATATATCTGCTCTTGCCCCATTTTGGACATGTCGTGCCAGAGCTGACTAAAACATGTGTCTCAATGCTGAGCTCATCTGGCCAAGTGGGGCAATGTAGTATAATTCAACAACATAAATTGTCGAAAAGATTCATATATCTGCCCTTGCCCCATTTGAACATGTCATGCCAGAGCCGACTAAAACATGTGGCCCAATGCTGAGCTCGTCTGGCCAAGTGGGGCAGTGTAGCGTAATTTGGCTACATGAATTGTCGAAAAGATTCATATATCTGCCTTTGCCCCATTTGGACATGTCGTGCCAGAGCCGACTAAAACATGTGGCCCAATGCTAAGCTCGTCTAGCCAAGTGGGGTGGACACCGTACCGTCGCGGGGTTAGCTATGGGGTGCATAAAAAATGGTGCATCCGTAATTAATGAACGAGGTACCTAGTATTTAAGAGGTCCCGGCGTCGTGAAACAGATCTGGCACAGACGACGAAGGGGGTAGTCGATAAGCTGAGAATGAGCAAAAACTTATGTGTGGACGGTGGTCGAGAGCAGGACCATATATGTCTCATAGATTATTTTTCAACAATAAAGAAAAATGAAGGAGCTTAGCGGAGCTGGACGCTAAAATGCATCGCGCTGCTGGGGGCGAAGTTCAGAGAGCAGGAAATGTAACAGCGGGGGAAAGAGAGAGACGTCGGTCGCCCAGACGTCGAAGTAGGTCCCCCAGAAGAGGTGAAGTAGCGAAGTCCCCCAGAAATGAGGCACAACAACGTGGGGGCTCAAAGACTGCAAGTGGGCATATCGCTACGCAAAGTGAGCCGAGCAGGTCGCCATGCCCACTGAGCTTTTCGGCCTTTATAGGGAACAAATCGATGACCGAAACGGACTCAATAGTTCGTGATCCTAACGTGGTGGTGGAATTCACGAGGCAAATATTCCCATATGAAGTGCAGCAGTCGTTTATCGGCTGGGGCGATTATGAGGTTTTAGAGAAGGTATACATCGGGCGATCCGAGGACTTTACAGTGAGTATGAAGTCGGCATGCGCCTACACGTGGCGAAAAGAGAGATCGAACAAAAGGACGGACATATTCAGGATTTGGGACGCCCTGCATAGAGGGTAGAGAGTGAGCTAAAAAAGGCCAAGGCGGCTGAGACTCAGTTGGCGTGTGCTACAAAGCCGGTTGTTACGGACAGAGTTAACCAGCTCCTACTGGATCATGCTATGGTCGATAGGGAAATGGCAAACATGTTCGCCAAAGAGGCGATAAGAAAGCGGGCCTATGAAGAAGGTTTTTTTGACAGCCGAAAAATCGGCATTGAAAAGACTAAGGAAAAATTGGAAGAAGACATTTGTCGATGCGAGAACTGCGACTTTAAGCACAGATGGGTTTGGGCTTTACAAGCCACGGCCGTTGACTCGACGTGTCCATTATACAAAGATTACAAGTTTCCCTTTGAGGCTTTTGATGTTGAAGAGACGGACAACGAAGAGGAAGGTGCCGAATCGGAGATAGCCTAAATAACGAGAGACCATGTATTGCACTTTTCAATCTAGTTGGACTCATGTATTGACAAAAGGAAATCTTATTAGTTGAAATTCATTGTTCTTGCGTCCTATGAGTCATTGCATTTTTTTGGTCCAACGCTACTCTATTGCTCTTAGCTTGCATCTTTTGAACTGTGTGCCTATTAGCTCTCGTAAATTGATTGCTCTATTTAGGCTGAGACTTATTCGGCCAATCGTGATGTCCACGAAGGGCGCTCTTAATTCGGAATCTTATTTGGCCCAAATGTGAACATACACAAAGGTGCTCCGAATTCGGAGGCTTTTTTTATGGAAAATCGTGACATCCACAAATTCAAAGGCTTATTTGGCCCAAACGTGAACATGCACGAAGGGCGCTCCGATTTCGGAGTCTTATTTATGGCCAATCGTGACATCCACGATGGGTGCTCCGAATTCGGAGGCCTATTCGACCTAAGCGGGAACATACACGAAGGGCACTCCGAATCCGGAGTCTTATTTATAACCAATCATGATATCCACAAAGGGCGCTCTGAATCCGGAGTCTTATTTATCGCCAATCGTGATATCCACGAAGGGCGCTCCAAATTTGGATGCTTATTCAGCCCAATCGTGAACATATACGAAGGGCGCTCCGAATTCGGAGTCTTATTTATGGCCAATCGTGATATCCACAAAGGGCACTCGAATTCAAAGGCTTATTCGGCCCAAACGTGAGCATGTACAAAGGGCGTTCTGAATCTGGAGTCTTACTTATGGCCAATCGTGATATCGAATTCGGAGGCTTATTCGGCCCAAACATGAACATGCACGAAGGGCGTTCCGAATTCGGAGTTTTATTTATGGCCAATCATGATATCCACGAAGGGCGCTCCAAATTCGGAGTCTTATTGATGGTCAATTGTGATATCCACGAAGGGCACTCCGAATTCAGAGGCTTATTCATCATTTAACCATTTTTAACGAGATGGCTGTAAAAAAGGCATATTGCGTTGTGAAATACGTAGATGCGTACATATTTGTATAGCAGCAAAAATCAAAAACGAACTGGCATGTCATACAAGTTGGCTTAATGATAAAATTTATGCAAGTAGGTTGAATTCCAGGAGCGTGATAAACCTCTGCCCGCCATGTCTGAAAGCTGATACGGCCTTGTTCTGGCAATTGAATCAATCTGGTAAGGACCATCCCAGTTGGGGCCTAATTTACCGTCTTCCAGATTCTTAATAGCAAGAAGCACTTTCTTGAGGACCAGTTCTCCAAGTGTATAACGATGCAACTGCACGCGCTGATTATACTACTTGGCGAGCTACTGCTGATACCGCACCATACACGCAAGAGCCAGATCTCGATGTTCTTCAATCAAAGTCAAATCTAAGGCCAGCATCATGTCATTATGCCTCATGTTGAAAACCTTGGATTTCAGTGTGGGCAAGCCGATTTCAAGATGGATAATAGCTTGTGTCCCAAAGCACAAAGTGAACGGCGTTTCTCCAGTAGACCGCCTCGGAGTGGTGTGATGAGCCCACAACACACTGGGCAACTCTTCAACCCACTTGTCCTTGGCCTTCTCCAATCGTTTCTTGATGCCATCCAGGATCACTTTATTGGAGGCCTCAGCCTGACCGTTGCTTCGCGGGTACGCCGGCGAAGAAAAGTAGGGCCAAATATCGTATGTATTGCATAACTCCCAATAGATGCCACAATCGAATTGGGGCCCGTTGACGGATACAAGTGCTCTTGGTATGCCGAATCGAGTTATAATGTTTTTCCATACAAAGTGTTTAACATCAACATCTCGAATATATGTTAATGCTTCTGCTTCGACCCACTTTGTAAAATAGTCTGTTACGACGATTAGGAATCGTCTGTTTCCCGGGGCCCATGGTAATGGTCCGATGATATCAAGTCCCCATTGAGCGAACGACCAAGGACTAGTAATGGAATTTAATTCTTCAGCAAGCAGATGAGTCAATGGGGAAAACTTTTTGGCATTGTTCGCATTTCTTTACATAGTTCTCGGCATCAGTACGCATGGTCGGTCAATAATACCCCTGCATTATGGCTTGGTAGGCCAATGAGCATCCTCCATAATAGACACCGCAACTACCTTCATGTATTTCGGCTAAGAATTCCTCAACTTTGTTTGGATGAACACATTCCAGATACGGCCCAGAGAAAGATTTTTTGTAAAGCTTTCCCTGCGGATCTAGATAATATCGCAGGGCTTTATTCTTATCTATTGAGAGCTATTTTGAGGAAAGAAATGCAGCGATAGGGTCCATCCAACTCGGTCTTAGCTCAATGATGTTAATCTAAACTGGTTCAGAAGAGGTGATGCTCGGCTCTGGGATGAACCCTACTTTGATTGTTCGTTTGACTTCTGAGTTAATGGCGGAAGCTAGGCAAGGAAGGGCATCCGCATGTGTGTTCTGATCCCGAGTTATCTGATTCAATTCGTGGTGGTCGAATTTTGTGAGCAAGGAATTTGCCGTTTTCATATAGGCTACCATGCGGTCATTTTTAACCACATATTCCCCTTTTAACTGGTTGATGACTAACTTCGAGTCACAGAAAACATGTAACCGCCGTGCACTAAGATGAAGTGCGTTATGAAGGCCGGTTAACAATGCTTCGTATTCGGTCTCGTTATTTAATGCATTGAAGCCCAGTTTGACTGCCTGCTCGATTATTGGCCCTTCGGGGGTCATGATTACTACGCCTGCTCCGCTACCACGTTGGTTAGATGATCCGTCACAATACATTTGCCAAATGTCTCCAACATATATTCGTCAGACGAGTTTAGGTTGAAGGTGGACTTGATCAAACTTGAAGTCGACATGCCATCTCGTGAACTCGGTTACAAAGTTGGCAAGCACCTACCCCTTAATGGTCATTCTGGGTGAAAACTGGATATCATACTGTCCAAGTTCCAAAGCCCATTTAGAGACTCGCCCCGATACTTCCGCGTTACGGAGCGCTGATCGGAGAAGATAGTCTGTTAATACCCCTATGGTATGAGCTTGAAAATAGTGCATCAACTTTCTTGCAGCCACCACGAGAGCAAGGATGAGCTTTTCCAATGGTAGGTATCGTGTTTCGGCGTCGACCATTGCCTTGCTTACATAGTAAATTGGTCGCTGTTCCCCGAGTTCTTCCTTTAGTAATACAGTGCTGACCACCCAATCGGATATCTCTAGATACAAGATGAGCGGATCGCTTAGCGATGGGGTTGCCAAGAGTGGCACTGAACGGAGATAAGTTTTCAAGCCATCCAGCGCGGCCTGGCACTCGGGGGTCCATTCAAATGCTTTACCTTGCCGGAGTGTGTGAAAGAATGGTCGGCAACGATCTATGGAACGACTGATAAACCTATTGAGGGTGGCGGCCATTCCCATCAATTTCTGAACTTTCTTTGACCGACTGAGGGGAGCCAAGTTCTAGAATTGTTGTGATCTACCTCAGGTTGGCCTCTATTCCGCGATGGTTGACAACATAGAGAAACTTGCCGGATCCGATGTCGAATGCACATTTCGAGGCATTCAGTTTCATCTTGTACTTTCGGAGAATGCCAAAGGTCTCTGTTGAATTGGCTAGATAGGCGTGATTTTTCTTGGATTTCACCGCCATGTCATTGATGTATACTTAAATATAGCGGTAACCAGCCTCTGGTAAGTTACCCTCGCATTTTTCAGCCTGAAGGGCATGACCTTGTAGCAATAGGTTCCCATTGTGGTGAGGAATGCGGTCTTTTCCTGATCGTCCGGATGCATAGCAATTTGGTGATAACTCCTGTAGGCATCCAAGAAGCTCATGCACTGATGATGTGCCGTTGCGTCCACAAGTTGATCGATTCTGGGAAGAGGAAAACAATCCTTAGGACAGGCTCTGTTCAAATCCGTGAAATCCACATAGACGCGCCAAGATCCATTCTTCTTCCTTACAACCACAGTATTGGACAACCACGTGGGATAAGTTACTTCACGGATTGCCCCGGCATCAACTTCATTAACAACGGCTGATGCATGCTCCGCGACTGACCGCCAACTTTTCTGTATGATTGGTTTGACTTTTAGATCGACGTTTAAACGGTGCTGGGCCACGACTGGATCCACCCCGGACATTTCGTATGGTGTCCACGCAAATACGTTAAGGTTGCTGCGTAAAAAGGAAACCAGCTTGTGTCTGTCAACTTCGTTCAGGGAAGTGCCGATCATGAAGAATTTGTCAGGGTTCCCATTGATTTCAATCCGATCAAGGTCTTCAGTTGCCTTCTCGCTGGGGATTTTCCCAATGTCCTCGAGGCTCTCTCAATCCGATACTTCAATTGAGTTCACTTCCAGTTCCTTTAGCCTTTTTGCAGCAGCAATAAGATAGCATGCCTGTGTCGATTTCTAAGAGCCTCGAATTTGCTAAATACCATATCTGTTAGAAAGAGGAGTAGTTGATGGTAGGTGTTTGGCATAGCTTGCATAGCATGCTACCAGGTCCTTCTCATGATAAGATTGTGTGGTGACGGGAGTTTGACGACCAGAAATTCCACATCGACTGATTTGGTACTTGCTCGTACTGGTAGTGTGATCTTGTCCAAGGGATACTCGGGGTTAGTGTTGAAGCTGAACAGTGGGTAATCGGCCGGTAACAGATCCAAATTAGTGAAGCCGAATTTAATGAACATCTTGTAATACATTATTTCTGATGTGCTTCCCTGATCGATAAGAACACGCTCGACTGTGAATCTGTTTACGCGTAGCTCGACGATGAGGGTATCTGAGTGGGGAAGGGTTACTCCATCTAGGTCGATGTCGTCGAAACTAATCTTGCTAGTTTCAGGGGGCCGTTTGGCTGGTGTGATTGGCTTGGACAAGCTAGGTTGCAATTGAATTGTATGTACTTGGGATGACGACGGTAGGTTGTATATTATGTGAATTACACCAAGCGGCGGTAAATCCGGCCATAGAGCTACTGTGTTCAGTGGATTGTTCTTTCGAACATGTTGTGCCAGCCGGCCGTCTTACACTAACTCCTTCAGGTCGTCTTTCCGTGCATAACAGCTATTAGTGTCGTGGCCATGGTCATTGTGATATTCACACCACCTATCCCTTCTCCTAGTATTAGGGGGTCCCATCATCTTGGGCGGCCACTTAAAGAACAGAAGATGCTGGACTTTGGATAGGATCTTACTGATCGACTCCACCAATTCCGTATACTTTTTGTCCGAACGTCCGGTGCGCCTGTTATCCACCTGATACTATTCATTTGAACGGTGTGAACACTGCTCGCTTGATCGGCGAGAATCACGCCGGTTGTCTTGTTTAGCCCAAGTCTGGGGTTCAGGGCTCCTTGGTGACACGACACTTATCGGCTGAACTAGACCAAACGGAGCCGGTTTAGCAATTTTCTGTCTGGCCTTGACGCACAGGGCATCATCTTTCACGTTACAGTACTCCTCAACTTTCTTCATTAGTGCCCAGACTATTTTGGGAGGCTGTCTGGTCAACGAACTGCGGAGAGGACTATCGGGGTGTAACCCCATCTTAAAAGCGGTAATGGCCATGGAGTCATTGCAGTCATCATCCACCAAGTTGAAACACTCCTATTAGCGCGCCGAATACTCACGGAAGGTCTATTTTGGTTTAAGAGAGAGTCGGCTTGCTTTGGCTGAATCTCGTTGGTAATGAATCTTGCCTTGAAGGATTTTTGGAGCTGATGAAAGCTTTTTATTGACGTTGGCTCCAATTTACTGTACCATTTGACGGCCAACGGTCCCAGGCTACTTGGAAACATTTGACACGTGAGGGCTTCATCATCAGCATGTAACGTCATCGTTTGTTTGTAATGATGAATGTGATCTGTGGGGTCTTATTTTCCGTCGTACAGGGTGAATGTCGGTGCTTTGAACTTTTTAGGCAGCACAGCTCTTGCAATGCGTCGTACGAAAGGGTCGTGCTTGTCCTCTTCATCTGAACCATCACTTATTTTCCCTCGCCTGTGTCGTACATATGGACTGTCTTCGAATAAGCTAGATATATCAACTCGCCCTTTCTTTCTGGGTTCCTGAGATGGCGAATTGAAATCACTGCCACTATCATGTTTCTGACGTCGACGTCGTTGATGATCCTTCTTCTTCTGTGGCGATCAACCCCGGACATGACACGCGACCTGTTAGGATTTGTCTACCTCTAGGGCCAATTCCTTACGTAAACGCTCGTTATCGGCCGCTATATCTTCCAGGCATTGTGCGTTTCATTTTGCTTGATCTATGATCGTCTGCATAGTCTCCTGCATAAAGGTTGAGGGTGAGGTTTAAGCTACTGAGTCGAAGTTCAGGGCCCTTCGCACGGTGATATTCTCCGGTCCAAGCATGTTTCTTGGAGTAACATCATCTCTTGGTGTAACATCGTCAGCAACGAGCGAAGGATCATCTGTTACACCTGCATGAACGTACTTGAGTATTCCCATAGACGGTGCCAATTATGAGAAAGGTGTTTTGAAAATACTCTTTTGTCCAGGTAGACGCTCTTGATCCTCTGGTTGCTATCTGAAAAAGGAATGAACAATCCGGTCAAGGGTGCCGGAATTAGCACTCCGACGAGCCAGTTAGTATTCTCTCAAATCTTACTTTTATCGTAAGTTATCTTTTTTTTCATACTTGTCTTTGGCTGACGTTTCTCCCTTTTTATATTACGCCTAGGCCTAGGGTCGGGCCCACTCTTGACCTTGTCTATAATTATCTAGTCGGCCTTCCAACTGTGTGTTGGCTCCTGTTCAGCTCCTTATATGGCCGATTCGTATGCTCAGCTTCACGAGCGTCTGGGTAGGGCCGAATTGTTTTCGGCCCAATGTCCCAACTAGACTGCTCGGCCTTTCTTCCTCATTGATTAAATTCGGCCTCCACAGTCTACACATGAAATTGTGGTAGTCAATTCTCTGCACTTCAAATCTCACTTTGGTCCCTACACAAGTGTCAATGTACCTCTTTTGTTATTTCATTTTTGAATCTTTAACAAAATCCAGTCATGTGACAAAAATGTAACAACGAAATGAGAGTAGGAAAGGAAAATCATCAATGTTTCCCACCAATACACTTTATCCTACGTAATAAGTACATGAGAGTTATATAATACAATATATATATGTGTGTGGGGGGGGTAAAAATTGGGACGAAAATGTAAGAAAGTAGAACTTTTGAAATAAAAAAAATGCGACGAAGAAATCAAAGAGAAAGAAAGATAAATAGATAGAAGATTGTGTTACGGTGAAAAATAGAGTTTCGTGATTTCAATTTATGTAAAACTTTAATTCATCTTCGTAATTGTTCACAATATGTTTTTTATTTTAGCCTAATATAGTCATATTTTGATGTAAATTTTGGGATAAAGTGTATATTGATAGAAAATGTGGATGATTTTCTTTTCTTACTCTCATATCGTAATCACATTCTTATCATATGATTAGATTTTGTTGAAAATTTAAACAATTGAGTAACATAAAATAGGTATTCTCACTTGTATAGAGATCAAAGTGAGATTTTATCAAAAGTATAAGGGATTGACGGTCACAATTTCATGTATAAGGATCAAAGTGAGATTTGATCAGAAGTGTATGGAATTAACTATCATGATTTTATGTGTAATAATCAATGTAAGATTTGATACAAAGTGTAAGAGTACAAAGTGTAATTTACTATTTTTTTAATGTTATACACATGTTGATATGCTTTGTGCTAATGCCTGCTAAAAAAAAAGGTCAATGGCTTGTTTGGGGTATTAATGACCAAACAGAAGTGGTGATTGACCGGTTCCGTTAGGTGGTGGTGGTGATGGCAATAATGACAGTGGTTGTATGTGGTTGTGGTGGTTGTGGTTGCAATAATAAACTGTAATGGCGGAACGGGATGTGGTGTGATGGTGGCCAATGGAAAGAAGGTCACCAACACATGTTGAGGGTGATTTTATGATGAGATTAATTTTTATTCCTTAACTTGGAAGGATAAATATGAATTCTCAAATTTTTGTTAAAAATGACTATTCTAATTTAAATAAGATGTCACCATTTAAATATATCTATATATATAAGAACTGTTTAGTTGTTTGAGATTCATTTTTTCTTTTGATTTTGTCCTTTCATTTTAAATAATTTACTAATGGTGGCCTATATGTTGAGTAAAAGTTTTTTCGTAATTATGCAAATATTCTTTGTTAATTATGCAATAAGTTTTTTCATAAATACGCGAATATTCTTGGTCAATTATAAAACAGATTTTTTCGTAATTGTACAAACATTCTTGATCAATTATGAAACATAAATATTTTATTTTTTAAAAAATTACAAATACACCCATAAAGTTTGTTTAAAATATGAATCAGTCCTATAATACTATAAATTACAA